TCCTCCTCTCTCCATTGTTATTCTTTATATTTTAGTAAATCCTATAAGATGCACAATAAAGTGGAAAAATTAAGGAAAAATTTCAAGACTAGAATAATTATTTGAATACAGAATTATGGCCCTGAGCCATTTTCTAATTAATGCATTACTGCTTCAATAGACTAAAAGGCATAGTTTTAGAGTAGTGTTTTGTAATCATTATTATTGTGTTTACATACCATATTCTGAAAAAAGATTAAAAGAGTGCATTGAGAATGGCTTTCATTTTGTAATAAAAATGTTACTTGCTAAAACAAAGAAAAATATGAGTATTTTCCCCTACCCATAGTTAAATTACTAACTGAATTTTGTCTTAAATAATTATTTGACTGAATTAAATTTCAAATTCTACTTAAATTAAGAAGGAGTAGTAAGCTACCATTTCAAGCACCTGTCTCATCTCCTCTATCATCTTTCTCTTTCAAAAGTGAACTCTGAAAATATTTACAGAAAGATAGCATTACAGTTGGGGTGTTGAACCCTAAAAAATACATTTATTACACGTATCATTTTGAGTCTGTTAATTTCCCACGGTGAAAGTACTACTTTTAGGTTTTTACTCTACTCTACCCTTAAACATCTTATTAGGACCTACAGTTTCAATTATTTATTTTATGCTTTTGAGCAAATAGTTGAGCTCCCAGGGAAAGGGTAGACTCCTATTCAATAACTATTGAACTATTGTTGTCATGTTTTCTTTTTTTATAAATTTTTCTCCTCAATAACTTCTGATTTAGGTCAAGAAATTCTAGAATGCAGAGATTAGATTTTTTCCTATTTGTCTTTCACCCAGAATTTCCTGGAGAATTGGAAGCTTAATAATACTTTAAAGAATGCAGAGAATGTGACATCTATATGCAAACTGTTTTCATAATAAACCCTCACTGAGAAGGCCTTACTTATTTTCCTCAAGCCTTTGCTCCTTTATGAAGGGCACTCAATTCTCTTTCTCCACATTTCTGAGATATTATTAGTACAGAGACCATTAATATTGTTATTTTGCAATGTTCTTACTAGTTTAAATGTTTAACCTTGATTGAAAGTTATTATGGGCCGGCAATGTGTATTACTGTACATCATTTCATCTTCACAAGTCTGTTACCATGTCCATTTAATTACGGAGGAAACAGGAGGGTTAATTAATTTGTTCAAGGTCATACGCACAGTGAATACACATTACCTTTTATTTCACTCCTCACATGCTGTGTTGGTAGCATATGTGCTAAATGAACCAAGGAAGTCTTACCAATTCTCAGGAGCAGAGACTGAAGCTTCCACTGTTTTGTGTTTTGCCATTAAAATCCCAGTACAATTCTGGGCCTCTAAGAAATGCCTGGCAGGGAGAAAGAGCAATGGAAGAATGACATTGCCAGGGGACGGTGGTTGATGAAGACAGAATGCACACAAACACAAAAATGTGCTCAGCGTTAAGGAAGGATTTATTCTCTGATGTTTTGATGGCATTTTGGTAAATTTTTACTAAGCATCAGAAGGCCACACTTTTCAAATTATTTGAGCAAAAAGTTGTCTTTAAATGTTTTTTCCAGCCGGGTGTGGTGGGTGGCGCATGACTCTAATCCCAGCACTCGGGAGGCTGAGGCAGGAGGATCCCTGTGAGTTCGAGACCAGCCTGGGTTACATAGTGAATTCCAGGTCAGTCTCACTACACAGTGAGACCTGTTAA